CAGTCTAAGCTTCTTTTTATTTCCCCGTCCTTTATAGTAGTGAATTAGCGCAGCGTGTTTACAGTACGGGTCAGTTTAGCCAGGATCGTAGCATATACATATAAAATCGGAACCTAAATTTAATAACAAACATCTCTGTACTGGGCTATGCCCTGTTTCAGTTGGGTCTGTGCCAGGACGGCTACTGTAGCTCGCTCCCTTCCATTACCTGACACAGAGGGGCTGCAACTCCCGCCCATAAAGGTAGTAGCTCCTCCCACTGCAAGAAATAACCATTATGTACTAAATTAACTCATAGCAGTGCTTATCCTTTTCTTATATCCTGATCCTATGTAGAATAATTGCTGTAAGAGGAGCCAAGCTGATTTAAAACAGCTTAAAATCAACATAACATTCAGACATCTCCCAAATCTCCCCCTCGCCTTCATACCACGCATGCCACTTTCCCCCAGGAACCTGACTATAAAAGGAGTCCAGCGGGGTCTGGACTGGTTTGGCAGATGCTGGGTCCAAACCAAAAGGCAACCGAGTGCAGTCAAGGAGAGGTGAGAAAAAACAAGCTCATCAAATCTGTTAACCCATATTTAAATCAAACTTTCATGGCAAAATAAAAGTCGGTGTTGCCAACTTTTACCAAACTTTCATGGCAACAATACACAAACTGTGTGTTCAGAGGTTACGGACTCTCCGATGGGTCTTTGGTCTAGAGCTCGACTGTTGCCTGTCACAGGTTTGTGGGTTAGAGGTGCAAAAGATTTGTGGACGGCCAAGCAGCACGCGTCCTCGATGCCAACACAGACCTGAGGACAATCCCATGGACGTGAGCGTCTGCAACTGAATTACGGAAAGTAAAGTGAACACACGGGCTTATCAAGAGCACGCCATCAGATGAAGTTGCCGTGGAAACAGAAATCGGGCTTTATTTCTCTTGGCAAGCACGTGAAATTAGGAAGTGCAGTCATAGATAAGAACAAAATAAAAGTCAGTGTTGCCAGAATACTTTCACCGGGGGCCTGATTTTTAAAGAGAATGTCATTTCTGATTTTATGATTAACTTTATAAAGATTTTATTTTTGATGTATTAAGGTAACTGTGTTCAAGTGTAAGCATGCAAACCAACAAACACGTTACAATTATTGCTAATTAAGACACTGATAAACTCTCAGGTGCATGCACCTTCAAATGCAACAGCACCATCTAGTGGTTGTTATAATAGTTGTGCACGGGACTTGTGTTGGGCTCCTGCAGTGCAGAGATTTGCAGACTCACATGTGCATTTTTTAAATTGTTATAAACTCTGAATGTCTCCTCAGCATCAAGAGAAAGTGATAGAAAACTTAAAATGCATAGAATTGTTTCTTTTTCTGGCTTCTTTCACTGAATTTTTAATTTAGGGCAACACCTAATAAGTCCTCTAACATTAACCTGAGGATTTCACTTTGGTTGCATGGCAAGAAGACAAGAAAACGGTAGCAAAATAGCAGTATTATTAATTCTAATGTTGGGATTTTTCTGAAACTGCGATGTTAAATTTATATAAATATAAAGCAAAGCAGCCAACGCCACGAAATGTCTCGTCTTCTCCGATAAATTAAAGAAAACCCCGAGCCAGACTGAAGAGTTGTACCTTTTTATTAGTCACTCTGACAATCGGTACAATACAAAGATTGATGACACTGTGCTATCCCCAAAAGGCTTTTAATTTGAAATAAATAGTAAGGAAAACATTCAATGGAGACGGTTAGTAATCTAAAAAAAAAAAAAATA